GGTGACAACCGCCCGGACAAGGCGGCTCCGGCCGCGCCCGGTGCGGCAGATGCTCGGATCCGCTGCCGCCGGGTGTGGGAGGCCGTGCTCGGCCCCGGGCGGTGGCGGGCGCGCTCCCCACGCACACGTGTCCCCGCGGAACGGGAGCGTAGGACCGGAGCCCGAGGAGCGGAGGCCAGGCTGGCGGGGAGGTGGGACACGTGGGTCCGCGCCGGACGTGTGTGGACACGTGTGTGGCCGGAGTCGCCGCCGCCTGGCGGGGCACAGCGTGGTTGTCGGGGGCCGTCCGGACGCGCTCCTGCAGGACAGGGAGCTGAACCGGCCTCTGAGGAGCCCGCAGCCCCCACCCGTGCCTCCTTTGTCCGCGGGTTAGGGCCCCTCTGGCCGACAGGACAGAAAGCGCCTCCCCAGGGGGAAGGGACTGGGGGAGATGGAGGGGTGAGCGACTGGCCAGGCCCAGACTCAGTCTCGCCCCTCTCGCTTTTCTTGGGGGTGGGAGAGCTTAGCGGCTTTATTTATGGGAGTTTTTGCCTGGAGGTCTGGAAGCAGCAACATGGTCCTGTGGGTGGTCTCTGGCTGGCGCTGTCCACAGCCTACCTGCCCCTCCGTTTACCTGGCGCGGAGCGGAGGGGTGGACAGTGAAGGTTGCCAGCCCAGGGCTTCTCCTGGCTGGAATTGCTTGGTTTCTATGACAACATGGGATGCTGGGGAAGGCTCTCTACAGCTGTATCATAAGCAAGGAGTGGGAGCCATGAAGTAAGGACAGAAAACGGGGGTGGGGAGTTCAGGGTCCAGAGGACCCCCTCCAGTCTTCCCAGGCAGGGTCCCAGTGTTCCTGGCCCCACCTCCCCCCTCCAGCCTGCAGCTTGTGCCTGGGGGCCCAGGGCTGGCTATCTTCTCAGGCCTGGGGTCTCTGGACCTGCCTCTTGTCCTGGGACAGCTGCTCCCCTCCCCACCTTAGATAGTCCGTCTGCCTTCTAGGACCCCCGTCCTCTGGGTAGGGTCTGGAGATGCTCAGGAGACAGGTTTCATTCCGCCCCCAGAGGGCAGGGCTAGACTCGGAGACTAGAGCGTGGGTGCAGACCCTGGCCGCAAGGGCCCAGGGTCCAGGGTCCAGCGTGGAGGGTGGAGGGGCCTGGCAGGGCCATGGAAGAGCTGGCTGTGGCCAGTCTGCACCTGCTATGGGGAGGGCAAGGTCAGGTTAAAGTTCAGAGGTCAGACTTCTCTGCAGGCTGCAGCACAGAGAAGCTGGTACTGAGGCCCAGCGTGTGTGGGGGGCTTGGCTGGGCAGGGCGGGGCTCTCGGAGCACAGTCCCCGTGAACTCTGGACCCGCCCCGCGAGCAGGCCTGTGGGCGGCAAGCACTCCTTCCCTGGCCTCTCCAGTGGGCAGGACTGTCCCCCCTGCTCTGTGCCAAGTCTCCCTGAATTGCACTTTCCCCCAGTGGACACATGGGACCCACAGACACGAGTGGGCCCTGACTCACTGGCACCCCACAGCACCCATTCCCCAGCAGAGGCCCACAGGGGGCCTGGGCACCCAGACAGGCAGACTGCAAGCTGCAGACAGGAACCTATGGGGCGGCAGGAGGCCAGGTGGCCAGGGGCTGATGTCCTCGTGGGCGGGTGGCCTCACCTGGCTGGGTCAGCCTGAGTCCTGAGTCGGACCCACTTCCCTGTGGACTGAGGGTTGCCACAGCGGGGCCCGGCCTCCCGGGAGCTGCCACACTCCTTCCCTCCTTCCCATACCTTCTTGCAAGGCTGCGGCTGCGGCTGCGGCTGCGGCAGTGGGGACCCCAGCCGCCCAAAATGAAAGAGAAAGTCGTCCCCCGCCCCGCCCCGCCTGGAGGCCAATCCCCGTGGCCAATCCCGTGGCCAGTCCCCATGGCCACACCTCCCTCAGCCACTAGATGTTCTGTCTCGGGAGCCCGCAGGCTGTGCTCTCTGAGGAGGAGTTCTGTGCACCTCTCTGGTGAGCCGATGGGGTGGCAGAGACGGGGTGGCAGAGACGGTGGCGGACAGGGAGGGGCTGCCTCCCTGGGAAGGTCACCGGTCTTCAGAGGAACTGGGGTGTGAGCCAGCCGGGTGACCCTGGGGGGCAGTCTCCGGGTGTGAATGGTGACAGCTGGCCGGGGGCCCCAGGACTCTGGGAGGCCCATGAGGCTGGCCCAGTTCCCCAGCCCCATGCTCGTGAGAGGGCCCTTCGCCCCATCCTGGAGTCGATGTAGAACCGACTGCAGGGGCCTCAGCAGGTCGGGCTGGATGGCTGGATGTCCACCCCCCAGCCACCCCGCCCCTGTGCCCCACACACCCCCGCGGCTGCCAGAGGTGCCGGTCCCGGTCCTTGTGTGTCTGTCTGGGAGGGCTGGGGCAGGGGCAGGGCTGAGTGGGTGAGAAGCGTGCTTCTCTGAGGAAAGGGGGCTTCCGGGGGTCCAGCGTGGAGTTGCCTCTGCAGTGGGGGCTGCACCTGAGGTGGCAGTGTCTACCTGGGCAGCTGTGAGCTGAGCCCAGGTAGGGGGTCCCGGGGTGCTGGGAAGGAGCGCCTTCCTAAAGAGAATCTTCGCGCCGCCTCTGCTCAAGGGTGGGAGGTCGCTGCAGCCCGGTCCAGGGCCGAGGTGCCTCAGCTGGCACATCATCCGGTCCTGCCAGCGCGGCCGCCAACACCCGCCCCCACTGCCCCCGCGCCTGGCCCTTTAAAAGCAGCCCTGTGCCGGTGAGCGTGAGCAAGCGTGAGCCAGCCGCGGAGGACGCTGCACCGCGGGGGCCCTTGAGGGGAAAGCTGGTGGCCGGCATCTTCTCCCTGGCTGCGCCCCTGCTCACGGTGATGCCGCGGCCCGGCCCGCGGGGAGACCCGGGTGCTCGTTCCTCGGCTGTGCCTCTGAGCACTGCGCCCCACCCCCCTGACTCCGGTCCCCTCTTCCCTCTAGGACACACCACCCTGCAATCCCTGGCTGGTGGAGGACCACCCCTCCCCACCGGCCCCGCCCGCTCGCCTGCCGCTCGGCCCGGCGCCACCTCCTCACTCCTACCTGGGTGCCCTCGAGTTAGATGGCTGATAAGCAGATCAGGTCAGAAGTAACCCTGCTTTGGGTCGCGGCCTACCCTACCCCACTCCTGCCCTGTGGCCGACAGGTCCTGACACCCCCTCTGTCCACACAGTCTGCCAGCCAAGCTCATCAATGGTGGCATTGCCGGGCTGATTGGGGTCACCTGTGTGTTCCCCATCGACCTGGCCAAGACCCGGCTGCAGAACCAGCAGAATGGCCAGCGCATGTACACCAGCATGTGAGTGTGCGCGGCGTGTGACGGGGGAGGCTCGGACTCCTGCGTCCTGCTCCCGCTTAACAAAAAGGGCCGCTGAGGGCCGCTGAGGGCCGCCAGGCCTGGGAACTCCCTGGCTGGGCCCCCGGCTGCCCCCCTCGCTCACCCCGGCCCTTGGCTGCAGGTCTGACTGCCTCGTCAAGACCATCCGCTCGGAGGGCTACTTCGGCATGTACCGCGGTGAGGCTCGGGCAGGGGCCGGCCTGGGTGGCACCCTGGGCGGCTTCAGAGGGGTCTGGCCGTCGTGGGCGGGAGGTGGGCGGGAAGGCAGAGTAGGGCTGCAAGTCTGGGCTGGGTGCATGAGTGGACGTGTCCCGGGGGGCTGGCTGCACCAGAACTGGGGGCCGTCAGCCCAGCCCCGGTGCTGGAAGGGGACGGGCGATGGGGTGGGATCTGTGGGGGGTGGCAGTTCTCAGCATCTCCCCTTCCTGGCCATCGTCCCCGTCCCCCAGCGCCCAGCATGGGAGGACGCTGTGTTGCCAGGTGGCTGCTGCTTCCTCCCCAGCCTTCTGGGACAGGCAGGACCGCATCTGTGCTGGGAGATGGGGTGGGGGCGGGGTGGAGCGTGGCTGCAAAGCAGCTTAGGAGGTCCCCAAGCCTGGATTTGCCCAGACGCTGTGCAGCCCGGCGCCCTCAGCACCTAGAGGGGCTTGCCCTGCCTCCCTCCGACTCTGACCCCAGCGGGCCGGACACCTGCCTTCACCTATGTTGGCCCTCAGTGCCCCCGCCACTGAGGGCACCTTCTGTCCTCAGGGAAGCCCACTTGGCGGGAGTGAGAGGGTCATAAGTGCCCGGAGGGGGGGAGGCTCCCTGTCCCCGCCTGGGCCCCGCCCCCGCCTGGCACAGATGTGGGTGAGAGGGCAGGAGGCGGCGGCCAGCGAGTGACTGGGGCAGGGCTTTGCCAGCTGGGAGGCTGGTGCTGGCCGAGAGCCTCCCCCAACCCGGGCCTCTGATCCGCCTGTGTCCCCCACGGGCCTCACAGGGGCTGCTGTGAACCTGACCCTCGTTACCCCCGAGAAGGCCATCAAGCTGGCAGCCAACGACTTCTTCCGATATCAGCTCTCCAAGGACGGGTGAGGGGCTTGGCCCTGCCCAGCTGCTGGGACCCAAGGTCAATGGGGAGGGGTCTGTGCTTCCAGACGAAGGACGGAGGCTCTGCCTGTCCTCACCTTGACCTTGTGGGGCCTCCTGCTGCTCATCCTGCCCTCCCCGCACTGGGAGGGGTGAAGCAGACAGTGAGTCGCTGGTGCTCAGGACGCCAGAGGTCCTTGGCCCCAGCTGCCCCTCGTAGGCTGAGATTTGGGGGTACAGACCATCTTTCCTGTGTCACCAGAGGGTGGGGTAAAAGCGTTGCCCCTTGGGGCACTTCAGAACCCCAGTTTCTCTACCTCTTTCTGCTCGAGAACAGCCCAGCCCCCCTTTCCAGGTCCTGCTGGGGGGCCATCTGTGTGTCAGGCTCGGTGCCCGTTGCTGGAGGGGTGTCTGAGGCAGAGGGGCGCCATACCCCCACAAGGCCGCGTTAGCCTCCACTGCCGCCAGCCCCCTTCACACCCACTCGCGAAGGGCAGCTGCCTGGGTGGCAGGGACCTCTGACTTCCCTGCGGCCCCTCCCCGCTCTGCAGGCAGAAGCTGACGCTGCTGAAGGAGATGCTGGCGGGCTGCGGGGCTGGCACCTGCCAGGTGATCGTGACCACCCCCATGGAGATGCTGAAGATCCAGCTCCAGGACGCAGGCCGCATTGGTGAGGCTTTCAGGGAAGGGGGAGAACCGTGCTGTGGCAGCAGCCGGACCCCCGTGCCCTGCCCTGACCTTGTCCTTGGAGGGAGAGCCAGCAGGCCTGTCCTTTTCCTTCCCAGCTGCCCAGAAGAAGATACTGGCCACCCAGGCCCAGCTCTCAACGCAGGGGGGCGCCCAGCCCCCGGCAGAGGCTCCAGCTGTCGCACGGCCCACAGCCACCCAGCTTGCCCGGGACCTGCTCCAGAGCCGTGGCCTTGCCGGCCTCTACAAGGGACTAGGGGCCACGCTGCTCAGGTGGGGGCGATGGGGGTGCTGGAGGAGGGAGGCCCACCGGCTGCCCCACACCTTCTGGTCACTGCCACCTCCTTCCTGCAGGGACGTCCCCTTCTCCATCGTCTACTTTCCCCTCTTTGCCAACCTGAACCAGATGGGCCAGCCGGCATCTGGGGAGAAGTCTCCCTTCTATGTGTCCTTCCTGGCCGGCTGTGTGGCCGGGAGTGCGGCTGCTGTGGCTGTCAACCCCTGCGACGGTCAGTGTGTGGGCCTGGGCCGCAGGCCGGGGGCAGGCGACTTAGGGGGTGGGGCTGGAGGACAGTGGACCCCATGCTGACACACCCGCCCGCACCCTGCAGTTGTAAAGACTCGGCTTCAGTCGCTCCAGCGTGGGGTCAACGAGGACACCTACTCGGGGTTCCTGGACTGCGCCAGGTGAGTGAGGCCTGACGGGGGCGGCTGTGGGGCGGGGGGGGGCCACCACCTGCTCTGACGCCCTGTCCCCACAGGAAGATCTTGCGGCACGAGGGCCCGTCGGCCTTCCTGAAGGGTGCGTACTGCCGTGCGCTGGTCATCGCCCCGCTGTTCGGCATCGCACAGGTGGTCTACTTCTTGGGTATCGGGGAGACGCTGCTGGGGCTGCTGCAGCGCCCCCAGCCCTGAGCCTGGGCCGCCCCACACTCACAGCAAGCGAGACCAGAGCGGGGTAGGGGCCGGACGGCTGCCCACGACCGAGCAAGGAGAAGTCTTGCCCACCCCTCCCCACATAGATGCGGGGCAGAGGAAAGGGTGCAGGGTCCACACACACGGACCCCAAGGGGTCCTGCCTGCACCGCCACTGGGATCAATGTCTTATTTATGTAGAAATCTCAGAAATCTTTACATTCCTGGAGCCAGCCCTGCCCCAGCTCCCGCCTGACCCGAACGCCCCCAGGATCAGAGCTGGTCTCTGGGCTGGGGGCCCCCAGGCGTGGGCTGGCCAAGCTGGACCATCCCCTCCAGGCTACCAGCCCGTCCCCAAGGCACGGCCCCTCGTCCACACAGGGGGCCCTGCACAAACCTATTTATTAACTTGTCGAGCACAAGTGGCTCTGCCCAGCCCTCCGTCCGTCGGTCCAGCCCCTGCTGCTGCCCGCACTTCAGCCGGCCTTGCAGGAGGATTGGGGTCTCCTACCCCCATATTGAGCCAAGAATCCCAGACTGGGGGACACACCGTATTCTGATTCCCAGGGAACGCCCCCAACCGTGGGACCCAGCATCCCTCCTGGTGGGCCCTGCTGCCCCACCCCAGGCAGGGGGGCCCAGAGCGCGTGAGGTCCATGTGTACAAGCAAATGCGGAGAAGCCCGTGGTGCCCACCAGCCCTCAGCTGCCCGGGCTCCCCCGGAACAGGGCTGTGGGGGCACTGCTTGCCCTCCCCCATGGCCGGGCAGCGTGCGTGTGTGTGCGTGTGTGTGTGAGTGAGTGTAAGTGTGTGTCACGTGTGCCCTAGCTTCCCGCTCACCCCGGCCTGGTATTTATTGCTCTGGCCTGGCCCCTCTTGCTGACCCTCTCCTGAGACCCCTGTCCAGGGTCCGGGATTGGCCCGGGGGTAGGGCAGGCATGAAGACCGGCGTGGAGCCAGGGGGCACCTGCCCAGCTTGCAGGGGCCAGGCCAGGAGCTGCCCCTTCCGGGCCCTGACTGCACCCTGGACAGCTGCGCCCCAGCCTCCGGACTCCTCCATGTTGTGAATCGAAGCAGGCTCGCCCCTCCCCTGCCACGTGATCGTGTTGTTGATTGGTCCTGACGTGCCGGTGCTGTGATCCCCCACGCAGGCCCCCTCCTAGGAAGCCCCTCCCAGCGACACTACCTGGGGCTCAGGCCTGGCCCCCAGTTCCCGGTTACTCCCACCACATCTGTACCTTGGAAGCTGCTGCTGCTGCTTACAGATTTATATTTTTTTCTTTTGAAGAGTTTTAAGAAGTGACTTTTTGTGTCTTGTCATGTAAGAAGGTAAATAAATATTCTAAGTAGACGCCTCCTCTCTGAGACTCTGTTAGGGGCAGGGGGAAGGGCAGTTCCCTGGGCCCTGTTATGAGGTCCACCTCTGGCTTCACCTGTGCAGACCTGGGTCTGCATGTCCGCCCACCGACGGGCGCCTTGGCCGGGAGGGACCCTGGAAGGCACCGCCTCCTGACAACCGCGCAGTCTGGGATGCGGGCGCAGGAAAGGCAGCCCGAGTGCGTCGCCTCCTCAGCCCTAAACCGCCTGTGAGATTAAAGGCGGAGCCGCGGCGCCAGACGGAGGGCGGAGCCCGAGCTGATGCGGCCCCGCACCCACTTCCTGCGCCGGCAGCACTGCATTGTGGGAAACTCCCGGTCCGCAGCCGCACCGCAGCCCGCTGCCCGCCCGGCCCGCGGAGAGCGCGCAGCGCGGAGGTGGGAGCGCCAGGAGCAGCCGCGAGCAGCAGCGTAAGGCGGCTGGGGCGGGGGCTCCGCGGCCTGGGGCCGGGGCTGGATGGGGGCACCGGGACAGTTCCCCACCTTGAAGGTCATCACTCCCAAGCACAGCAGCCCTGGAGAGGGGGAGGGGACAGCCTGGTGACGTCAGTGTGGAGCTAAAAACAACGGAGGGTAGGTGGGGGAAGCAGACCACCTACTCTTTGCAAACGCGATGCCCCGCAGCTGGGTGCCCCTCCAGAATGGCAGCGGGTGAGGTGCTGCTGGGGCTCCCTGGGAAGTGGGCCAGCAGCTGGGCCTCTCACTGGGACACCCCCCCATGATGTGACCTTCAGGTGACCTTCCATGTGGTTAGTGTGCCTGGCCAGGGTGAGGAACCTGGGCTGCCATGGGCCCTCTACCCTGGGCGGGAGTGTCCCACCCTCCCAGGGGGAAAGGCAGACAGGTGGTGTCTAGGTTTGCAGAGAGAGATGACTCAGGCCTGGGTGGCTAGGTGCCTGTCCATCCCCCCCTGCCCCCCACCCTGGACGTTAAGTACCAGGGCCAGGCCTCTCCTACAAACACACCCCCATCTCCTGCCTGGCCCAGATGCTCCGGCTGATTGACAGGGTATGTGCCCACCCCAGGTTAACGCCAGGTGTCCCCTCCGCCCCAGAGGTAGGTGCAGCCTCTGGCTCAGCAAGGACATCCTGCCCTTGAGCTGAAGCAGGTGAGGCCAGGAGCTAGGGAGGGACAGATGGCTTGCGGGGAAGCAGAGGCCTGTCACTCCTCTCCTGGCCTCTCCAGCCTCCTGGGGAGGCACCTCAGGTTTGTCACATCCAGGTCCTGGTGGCCTTGGGCCCACTCCCCACCCCCTCGCCAGCACCAGAGAGCCCAGTACCAGGTTCCCACCCCGCCCTGCCCCCTCCACTTGGACCCAGTCCCCTCCTTAGAAAGGTACAGGGTCGGCTCCGCCCAGGCCCACGCTGGCCGCTGGCCGTCTCCCCTGACCGCAGGCCCTTTTCAGGGCTGGGCGGGCTCTCACCTCCTGTAGGGCCATCCCGCTCGGGGTCAGTGTGATGGTTCCATCCCCGGTCCCCCCAGCCTGTGCGGGGCCCGTAGCCCCTGCCTGTGTGGTTGGAGGGGTCCTCAGGGAGTGGTTGGGGACTAGGCCTTGGAAGAGGGAGATTCTAAGCTGGGGGTCTAACGAACTGGGCTGTGTCTCTATAGGGACGAGGCGGTGGGGGCTGGACAGGAGGGCTTCATTGTGTCTCCCTCCAGGCCCATGTAATGCCCAGAGCCGAGCTGTCCTGAGCTGCTGTGGTCCAGCCACCTGCCTGTCCACACACGCCCCACACAGCCTGCCAGCACCGCCACCATGGAGTCCCGCGGGAAGTCGGCCAGCAGCCCCAAGCCCGAGACCAAGGTGCCCCAGGCTGGTGCAGAGGTCAGAGGCCCCCCCACCACAGACGGGAAAGCCCCCTCAGCCAAGCCTGGGAAGAAAGAGGCCCAAGTGGAGAAGCAGGAGCTGCCGGCGGGCCCCGCCCCACCACCTGCCAAGAAGACTCCGGGCAAGGCAGACCCCGCCCTTCTCAACAACCACAGCAACCTGAAGCCAGCCCCCGCGGCCCCCAGCAGCCCCAGTGCCACCCCTGAGCCCAAGGGCCCTGGAGATGGGGCTGAGGAAGACGAGGCCCCCAGTGAGGGCCCAGGGGGCCGAGGTCCCTGCCCCTTCGAGAACTTGACCCCCCTGCTGGTGGCTGGGGGGGTGGCTGTGGCAACCGTAGCCCTGATTCTTGGTGTGGTCTTCCTGGCTCGAAAAAAATGATGGCTGGTACCCAGGTGGGGGTCCACCAGTCCCTGTACAGACCTTGGGAGTCTAGTGCATGCCGAATTCACATACAGCTATCTGCCCATATGTACACAGGTAACACATGTATAGACGTACACACAGACCGAGAGGTGGACAGGCCCGGGCAGTGGAAGCCAGACCCCGGCTGGCCCCCGGCGCTTCCCCTGCACCCTCTGGGGCAGAAGGAGCCTGGGCTTGGGTGCTGGGCAGCACAGGGTGGAGCGCTGACACCGGCCAGAGGGCTCAAGGACAGGGCACCGGGGGGCAATGGAAGTGGGGGATGCTCCTGTGTCAGCCTGTCCTGAGAGGCCCCAGTGATCCCGGGGGCCCCCAGCACGGGAGGGAGCCCCCAGGTCGGCAGGGGTCCGGGATGGGCTCTGACCCGGCCCAGCCCCTGTGTGGGGACATTAAAGGGTGTGGCTGTTTCACCCCCCCTCTTCTGCTCTTTGCTCGCAGCTTGTATGGGGGGGTGTCTGGGGGGGCCACTGCAGCAGGGCTGACGTGTCGTGGGCAGTTACAGCGGCAGAGCTTCCATACCATTTCCGCCTGTCATCTGCGCCCCAGCTGGGCAGACAGACCTCCCGAAGGCCAGTCTCTGGAGGGGCTGCCGCAGTCCACTTTCCAGCTGGTGGCTCCAGGGGATTCCTGAGGCAGGGGCCACCTGGCTTCCTGCCCCGAGCCCCTGCCCCATCCCACAGCAGCTGTTCTGGGGGCAGCCGAGAGCCCGGCAGGGCGGGGTGGCTGTCGGGGACGTGCCCGCAGCTGCGTCCAGCCCTGCGGGGGCCCCTCCTGCCTCACCGCCGCCTTCGAGTCTAACAAGCGTATAAATGCAATAACGGGTAGAGTAGAGCCGCCTGGTGGGTGTCGCCCCCTCCACTGCCCCACACGCCTGCAGGCAGACCGTGCCGCGCAGCCCCGGCTCAGCCCAGGCTCGGGAGGCTGGTGGCGGGCGCCTGATGCCTGTCCTGTCCTGGCCAGTTGGCCAGTGGGCCTGAGTGGAGGCTGTCTACAATAAACGCTCTTGTCTAAAGGCTGGGCTGGCGTCCTGACCTGCACGTGGCTGGGAGAGGCAGGGGCCTCCGTCGGGGTGCGGGGGTCACCCCCATATCCATACCGCCCCGTTTCCCGGGAAGGATGCTGCTCACTGGCCCTTCCTGCCACCTCCGCGCCCTTGACCCTGGTCGGCTCTGTGCCCTCCCCGATGGCCACATCATTCCTGCCAGCCCTGGGCCTAGTCGGACACGGGGGGCTGCAGGGCGCGGGACGGAGCGAGGCTGTGGGGCGGGGCTGGGGACCTCGCCTCTCCAGCTGGGGGGCGTTTTCTCCTCACATCACCTCCCACAGACAGCGCCCTGAGGTGTCATAGGTGTCCAGCTGGCCAGGCCCACCTGTCACCCCAGCTGCGGGTGGGGCTTTCAAGGCATGGGCTGGGGTCAGCCTGGGTGGGCCCCAGAGTCGCCCCTGCGGGCTTTGTCACCCTGGGCCCCTACCTCCACAGCAGGCTTCAAGCTGGTCTGGCAGGGCGGGGCGGGGCGGGGGGCATTGTCCCTTTCCGGTCGTCCCTGTATCCGCCCCCAGAGTAACACGCCCTGTCAGCGCACCCGCATCTCAGGACCCGGAGAGCCGCCTCGGAGTGAAAACATCCAGAACAGACCCCAACCCCCGCCCAGGCCCTCCTCCACGTCCTGCAGCCTCCTCTCTGACCGCCCCATGCCTGCCCGCCCCACAGGTGCCACGGCGGACACTCGGCTGGGGCGGGGCGCTCGCCACCCTTCTGCAGCCCTGGCTCCTCTGCCCCTCTCTTCATTCTGTGGCTTGCAGCTTAAAAACAAAGCAACACAAACACCCTTCTGACATTTCGGGCGACTTGGGGAGAAAGCGGAGGTGACAGGCTGTTGTCTTCAACGTGATGTCCCGTGCTAGTCCACCCACACCGCCACCTCTTTTTACTGAGTCCCTATTAAGGGATGTGGAGGTGGTTTTGAAACTTTTGCAACTTTAGACAAAGCAGTAATGCAGACCGTGTACCGTCCTTGGGCCTGTGTCTCGGGGGGGTGTGGGTACCGTGTGTGCATCTTTCTTTTTCTTTTGTGGTAAAATGTACAGCACGTAAAATTTACCATTTTATTTCAAATGTTTAAGTGCACAGCTCAGTGGTACAGCTGTCACCACCACCATGTCCAGGACCCTCTTCATTTGACAGAATTCGAACTCTGTCCCCAAACTCCCCCGCCCAGCCCCTGACACCCACCACCTGTTCTCTGTGAATCTTGCTCCTCCAGGGACCTCGCGTAGGGATCGCAGAGCCTTGGGCCTTGCGTGTCTGGCTTATTTCACTCAGCACAATGTCCTCGAGGCCCAGCCATGCTGTCACGGGGGGCGGAATTCCCTTCCCTTCAAGGCTGAGTGACAGTCCACTATCAGGATGGACCATGTTCCGTGCGTCCACCATCTGTTGACGGACACGTGGGCTGCTCCCCCCTTCCCGCCGCGATGACTCATGCTGCCGTGAGCGTGGGGTGCGCGCATCTGTTCGAGTCTGCTTTCGGCTCCTCGGCTGACGGGCACCGGGCGTGCTGGGCCACGCGGTGCGCGTGACAGCCCGCTGCCCGTCTCCTGCCCGGGGATCGGCCGTGGGGCGAAACAGTTTGCCAGTCTGCACGGGGACAGCCGCCGCCTCCGGGATGTCATCCACACTGACCTGACGCATTCCTTTTCCCGAGGGTCTTCGCCATTTGAGTTTTGCCTTTTGCGGTTTTCCCCGTTGGTGCCATTCGTGTTTTTCTGTTGGACAGACTGGCGTCTTATTCGTTTGCAGGATTTCTTTGTGCACTTTGCGCACTGAGCTTTCGTTGCATTGCAAATAGCGTCGTTCCTCGGTGAGCTTGCCTCTCACTCCGTCTCCTGACTATAGAAGGCTGAGCTTGTCACATGTCACCATTGCCCCCTCGACCACGTAAGTTTTGGGACTCTTGGTCGGAAGGATCCCATGTGGAGTTCTCACGCTCAGTCTGTTTCATTGTGTGCCTAAACTCGTGTGACACAGGGACACTCCCCCCCCCAAAAAAAAACAAAACACTCTTTGGGCTGCCTAAGGCTGCTTTAGATGATTTTTATTACCAAACTGCTTTTAAGGTCAAAACAAAATACAATATATAAAGGACTAGGGGTGTGAAAAGTGTGCACTACCAGTCCAAGCCCGACGGACAGGGACAGCCAGCAAACTGGAAAACCCAGGCGGGCAGCACATCTCCAGGACACCGTCCAAGGAGGGCCCCGCTCCCACCAGGGCTTCGTGTACGCTGACTCCCCGGGGACCTCCACCCTCGGCGTTTGCATTCTGAGCACTCGCACCAGCGTCTTAGGTCCCGGTCCCCATGTCATGATATGTCGTGTCACTGGTGGGCTCCATAGGGAACATGTGTCATGTACAAGGATGCAGAACGTGTGTGTGGGGGTCCACTTTGGTTTCCTCTCCAGCACCCCTCCTTCCCCCAAGAGTGTGTGATTCCTCCTTGGGGGACCCCACCCTGGAATGCATCCTAGGTATGCCTGGGGGGTAGGGCTGGCCGCTGCCTCAGGACCCGGCCAGATGTGGACACGAGGCCAGGGCATCCTCTAGAGTATGTCCTTTCCAACGGGGCAGAGGTGGCAGGCTACTCACCGGCCGGCCCCCACCCGGCTGCTGGTGCCAGGCCCGGCTCCTGGGCCTTTAGCTGCCCCTCCCCCAGGCCCCTTCACACGTGGTCCCAGGGCTGGGCAGGCACAGGCTCCCTGCGCCCCAGCAACTGGCTCCCTGGACATCTCCGTCTACTGCCTGTGGCCCAGGTGGAGCCGATGCTCTGTCTGAAGTCTGCTGAGTGAGGGGCCACCTGCCGCAAGGGGCAGACACGCCAGCACGGTCGGGGGGTGCGCAGGGCTGGGGACTGCCACCCAGGGAAGCAGCAACAGACTGCAACCCAGGAGATCAGCTTACGCCCTGTGGGGCTGCAGAAAGTGCTGAGGTGACACTCCTGGGACTCGGCCTGTCACCCGGAGCAAAGGCTGGCGGCAGGTTGGCTGTTGTTTCTTTTTTTCCCGCCGGCCGGCAGGCACGTCTGAGACAAACCCCGTTCAGTCCTCCTCTGGACCCTCCCAGGCACCCACCGCACCTGTCCTGATGTCCTGGGCACAGGGAGGGGCGCGCCTCCCTGTCACATAGCCCCACTCCGGGCCACAAATGCCACTGTCGCCCACCTGCCGCCATCTTCTGGAGAGGCCCTGCCAGCCCAGGGGGCAGATGGTGCCAGCTGCTCGGTCCCGTCCTCTCAGCAGATGTGCAGCAGCCCCCGAGGTGAAAGCCCCCACTTCACGGGCTGCCCCCTGCCCCTCTGCCCTCCTGGTTCAAGTCTGCATCATTCACAGGGGCTTCAAGGCTGAGTCGGGGCCTCGCCCTGCTGGGAAGACACACCCGGGCACCGGGGCCGCAGGCCACCCGGTGGTGCCCATGACACCGCGCCCTGAGAAAGAACCCTAGCCCCAGCCTCCAAAGCCAAGGTCCACCCAGTAGTCAGGATAACGGGGGGCACTCGGGGTGACCCTGTGTGCGGAGGTGTGCTCAGAAAGGGGGAACCGGGCAGACGGTGGCTCTTGTGCCCACAGGCTTTATGGTGCAGGTAGGAGCTGTCCAGGCGGGGGGAGGGGGGAAGGTGGAGGGGGGCGCCAGCCACTCGGGGAGCAGCAGCAGGTGTCCAGGGCCCGGCGCCACTCACACGCCCACGGCCCGCCGCGTGAGGAAGTTCCAGAGACAGCAATGAAACCACCCTTTAACTGGTGCATGACACCGTGTCCTGTGACCCCTCACACACCTCGTCACAGGTCCCTAAACAAATGCAAACTGCTAGGTTCAAGGCTTCCTTACCCCGCCCCGAGCTCCAGCCCCACTTCACCTGCCGCACCTGCGCACTGGGCGTGGGATGGGAAGGTGCCCGAACGGTACGCGGATGACGCCCTGCTGTCCACGCAGGGCATGAACGTAAGCCCTAGGCCCCAGGCCCCGAGGTGTGACCCTGTGTGAGTGCCCTGGGGGGAGGCTCAGCAGGACTGTGGGACACCCTAACACAGGCCCTGGTGGGGGAGGCCCCAGGCCTGACCCTTTCCAGGAGACCGTCACCCAAGGCTGGGTGCTGGCCACAGACCTGTCGGGCACCGGGAGGCCCTCCTGTGCTCTGCCGACAGGAGGCGCTACCTGCCAGCTGCTTCCTGCAGCCAGTTCCTACTCGGGTGTGTGCCTGTCAGTTGCGGGTGTCAGCCCTAACCCAGGGCCTAAGGAGAAGCCCCTCCTCACCCGTTGGGGGTGGGGACATGGGGACCAAGGGGCGTGGGGAACAAAGAGTGTGGGGGCCAAGGGGCAGACAGCCAGCACGGTTGGGAGGGGTGCACGGGGCTGGGGGCTGCAGCCCAGGGAAGCAGCAACAGACCACAATCCTAACTGGGGGGTGTGGGTGTGCCCCACTCAGACACGCACACTGGGTCGCCTCGTCTGCTTCCCCTCACTGCACACAGGCACTGTCGTGGAGAGGCAGGGAACCACCAGACTCACACCAAGGCTTCTGTCTGGCGAGGCTCCGGCCACCACACTGGTCCCTGTGCAGGCCGCCCGCCCTGACTGTGAATGCCACGGGGGGCTGCACCACACATCACAGGCTTGACCACACCGGAGCTGGTGCTGACCTACACTGGAGTCAAGCATATGTATGAGGCGTGGACCCAAGGTGACACCCCCACAGGAGACCAGGACTCGGGCATCCGCTCCCCCTGCTTGGGCGTGCAAGCTCCCCGGTGGGTGTCCCTGGGGCCCCAAGTCTACACGAGGGTGCACGCATGCACACTAGCCTTGCCTGCCGCACAGCATCCCTGCGCTGGCTTCCTCCCCCATCCCCCTTCCTTAGAGACCAGAGAGGCCGCTTCCCCGTGCGGGAGGGGGTGGGGGAGGGGGAGGTGGCTCCCGGAGGCCTGTGCCAGTGGCTCAGCCAGCTCTGGTGCCTTAGCAACGCTCCATTGGTGCAGGTGGGGCTGGGCCAGCAGGGGTACCCGTGGCCCTCCTCCAGCTCCTAGGTCTGACACCCACAGGGAGCGTGGGGGAATAGGGGATCCAGCAGCACTGGCCTGTCCCCAGACCCAGAAAGCTCTCCACATGGCGAGACCCAGTCTCACCTCAGGCCTGAGGGTGTCTACACCCAAACGCCCCCACCCAGCCAACACGGGCACCACGTTCCCACCTGTCCTGTCCCCTGCCAGTGCTAGGAGTCCCCAGTTCCTGCTTCACCCTGTGTCGGGAGGGCTATGCCGTGCCGGAGGGCAGTGCTCCTGACCCTGTCGGGTGGCCTGGCCGAGAGCAGAGCCGCTGCTGTTCAAGCAGGCAGTGCTCAGCCACCACAAAGGTCCCCTGGTCAGAGCAGAGGCTGGCAAGATCTCTGGGGAGCCCTGCTGCCTGCCCCTTCACACCGGCAGCCGGGGGCCCTGAAGGGGTGCTGTGGGGGCCAAGAGGCAGGGCAGCCCTCTTAACTGCCAGCTTGGGCCCAAGCCCCACCACGGGGCTCCCTTCCCTTCCCTCCCAGGCCCTAAAGAGCACCCACCATCTGCTGAGGGCACACATGTATACTCCGACCAACTGCCTCCTGGACAGTTTGAAAAAACAGCTTCAAATGCAGCCTGGCATTTTCCCTGAACTCAGCAGCCCTGCCTGAAGCACCTCCGTCTGAGAAAATGACACCCCCATTCTTCCAGGGGCTCGGCTGAACCCGTGACCCTTGATACTGTCTCCCCACAAATGTCCTGGGGAGGAAGAACCCGCCCACCTGGCCCCGCCTCCAGGGACACTGCAGACGCATCCCAGACCTTGGCGCACACCTTCTGCCTGGGGCCCGCGTCTCCGCCAGCCTCCCTCACATCCGTGAGCCCCTCCCCCTGCCACCCTTGTCCCACCGCCACCTACGAAGTGTGACATTTCTTCCTATGAACCACGGTCCAGCCCCCACCCCAGGACGCGAGCCCCACTGGGCCTTGCACCTTGCCCCTGAAATCCCATGTCGTGTTTCCAGTGCCAGCACTCGGGGTGGCACAGGTGGCTCTGTGGATCAAATGTTCAATGTCTGAATCAACAGGGAGGGACCCTCCTCCAGGGGGAGGGGACTTTCGCCCACGGGGCAGCGGTTTTCTCTCCTGGTTCACGCTCCTTCCTCAGCTCTCCCCTCGCCCAGTGCTGGCCGGAAGTGCCCACTGCCTGAGAAAGGACGAGGGAAGAGTTAGCTACTGTTCCTAACGGCGCCTGCGGTCCGGGCAGGGTTCTGCTCAGGGATGCTGAGACTTCCAGCCCGGGAAGACCCTCGGGGCTCTCTCCCACGGCCCCGCCGCCCAGCTCAGAGCCCTCCGCAGGCCCTGCGGTGCCACGACGCCGACGGCGTTGACTGGGGGCCACTCTGCCCCCGACCGCGGAAAGGCGTAAGGGGCTGGAGCGGGA